TATATATATATATATAATTCTTTGTTTCAAAAAAACTTTTAGATAATTACTAAATGAAAAGTCTTTTAGGATGCAATATCCGTGTATCACACAGGTGTTTATTAAAAAAATTATATTAGAAAAAACAAATAAATTTGTTTTAATTTTCAAATACTTTTTGAACAACCATACTAGTATTTATATTTATAATGATATTCATCACTTTTACGAGTTACCATATTGTATTATAATAATATTAAAAATTACATCAATTAACAATTTTGTAGTTAAAATAATTTAAATAGTTTTGTTTTTGAATTAAAATTAAAGGTAATTTAATTTATATTATAAAGATAATTTAATTATTTATTTATTCTATATGTACAATATATGTGTCAAATCGAAGCTCATCAATACATGATTTATTTGATATATTATATATAAAAAATTGATAATAAATAAAGAATATTAATTTGAATTCTACTTATAATTTAAGTTTGCATTTTTGTTATAATTATAAAAAAAAAAAGACGGGGAAAAAAAGATTGAAGAAAAAATTATGCCGTATGATCAGCGCCAAAAATAGGAAATGTAATACAATTAATGTTATTAAAAAATAATAAATGTCGAGAACTAGTTATTTTTGAATTGAGAGTAAATTAAAATTAATCAAAGCTAAAGCATTAAAACTTGCCAGCTAGATCTGAAGCATGCAAGTCGACCACTTAAACTCAACACATTCAGAAATTAAATATAGGGAGGATTATTTTTTTCTTTCGAAACGATATATTTTATAGATAAAAACACATAAATACAACTAAACAACAACTACAATTAGCAGCAGCCATCTAGCTGAATCTAACAGGAGACTACCAGACATGGAGAGACCTAGAGAGACTACTCTAACGCACGCACAAGATAAACTACTAGACAAATAAACAAATCCCAAAAGAGAGAACACTGCTCCTACAAATGAAAGTAATTAGCTAAAACAAGAAAGCACCACAATACTACGACAAAACACCAGAAAACACAATACAAACACAAAAATAGGTAGAAGAACACCCTCATGTCCACAGGTGAAACAATCCGCAACACACCGCGATCCGTCACCCAAATACAATCGCCTAGTCGGATAGGATTCGGCTTGAGCACTGCTCCAGAAACTCCAGTGTAGGCACGGCTAGATGAAATCGCACCATATAACCAAAATCTTCTTCTTGACGAACCTCACCTAGAGTTGAGACCGAAGGAAGAACCCCATCACCCCTCCCACCGACAACACTTGCAAACCCAACCGACCAACCTACCAGCCACCAACAGCCCCACGACAAACAACTGACCAAGTTTAGACGAAGATAGGGGAGAGGGAGTCTTACCTCGACCCTGACCAACACTGAGGAGGAGGGTCGAAGCACATCAAATGTCCCCAATACGGAACCCCATGAACCCCCCAACATGACATATAAGAGGGGCAAACTTCACGGTCAACAACGGACGGATCCGGGCTGTATGGAGAGCCCTGAGAAGAGGAGGAGGCGACGACGAGATGCTACAGTTCCCGCGCGAGAAAAACAAAAAGGGTTAGAGATTTTAGAGAGAAAAAGAGATTTTTTGTTTTATAAATTAACAGTTAAATATAGGAGGAATTAACCTCTTTTTTGTACAAGAAAAAAGCAATTATTGTTAACACTTTATAATAAAAAAAAAACTTATTCATCAACTCTAATATTACTAACTATTAATATTTTATTATTTTTATATTAAATCGTTTGTAATTATTATGTTTACTTATATCTATTTATAATTTTAAATTTATCTTCTTTTTTTTT